ACTTTGGTTGCATTGAAACGTGTCTTATACACGTTGGAATGAGACTAATATATATGCCCCGTAAAGAGGACTTGCATGAGAGTTCATTGAATTGTCCCTTTCGTCCTATATAACATTTATTGCCTAGTACTTTTTGTCCAAAAGTTGTTCTCAGTTAACTTTGTTCATTTGTGTGCAATGTGTATATGTTTTGTTTGTATGTTTGTTTGTATTCATGGGTGAGCCATTAGAACTTTGAATGTGTTATCCTCTCCACCTGTTAGAGTATTGAGAGACTCATTCATGGAAGTTTGAAGAATTGAGAAGAAGGATTCTTGGAGTCGAAGCCGAAGGAGATAATCATCCGGTATACAACCTTATTCTTAGTTTGGCCGCTGGTCTGCTAGAGTTGTTATGGCGTAGTAACAACCAATCTATGAGAGTTTGTAAAAACTAAATAGAGCTTGGGTAGAAGATAGATAGGGTAGTTTTGTATGGTGTAAACCAAGTATTTGGTTTAGTTAAGACTCATGGATTGAAATTCCTCAAACGTAGGTTGGAAACCGAATTGAGTAAACAAACTTTGTGTGTGTGTGTTTTTTTTTGCACTTATTCAGTCATCAATCTGTCTACGAACACATACGAAAGTTTCAATCATGAAGTAACCACACATTCAAAAAATTTGTGCAATCTACCGACCGTTTCATATTTCCGCTGCGCATAAAACTAGGAGGCGTAAGACCTTTTTTGAACCGATCGAATATCCGACATCTGGTATCAGAGCAACATGCTCAATACCCCAAGTAGATCCATTTGTAGTTCGAGATGAATCGAGAAGCAATTTCATCCCTCCGTCCGTCTATCTTCGATGGAAACAACTATAGCTACTGGAAATGTCGAATGGAAGCCTTTTTGCTGACTCTTGGTAATGAAATATGGGAAGCTGTAGAGTTTGGTTGGATGCTCCAACAAAAATTGTGCATAGACAAACTCAAAATGATCCTCCTACGATTTCCCTCAAGCTAAAGAATGAATGAACTATCAAAGAAAAGATTGCAGCCGCTGGAAATGCCAAGGCGGTGAATGTTTTTTTTGCATATGTTGATGAAATACAATTTCGTGTCATTTCTAACTGCAAGAAAGCAAATGATGCATGGAGAGCCTAGGAAAATGCATTCGAAAGGACTGCTGAAGTTAAGGAAACAAAACTCCAAATGGTGGAAAGTATGTTCGATGCCTTGAAAATGACAGATGATGAAACCATGTCTTAGTTCTACACTCGATTCAAGGATGTGGTGAATCAAGCATATGCTCTTGGCCTAGAATATGATGAACAAAGACTAGTTCGAAAGATGCTGAGAAGTGTGAACGAAATTTAAAGTCAAAGTATCAACACTTGAAGATAAAAAGAAAAGAATACGACTCTTGAGACTTTGAATGGTATTTTTATGACTTGGGAGATGAATCATATTGAAGAAGAAAGCTCAAAAGTGATTGCTCTCACTGCTGAAGATCTGGATCTTCTCGAATATGATGAAGAAATGTCTCTATTGTCCAATAATCTATCTCGAATTATAAGTGAAAACGTGCTCGAAAATTCCACAAGTTTGGAAACAAATGTCACTATGATGGTAAAACAACTGCAACCAACAACAAAAGTATCGAGAACAGAAAAGTGCTACTTAAAACAAAAGAAAGGAATTTTATAATAACAGTTACAAAAAGAAGTTCAATATAGCTTCTAGTCCAGAAAACTCAAGTGACCCGAAATGCTTTGTATGTGGAGGAGTAGACCATGTGAAAGTGAAATGTACAACATTAAAAAAGAAATAAAAGCATGCATATCAAGCTACATGGAGTAATGATGGTAAAGGTACTTATATTTCTAATGACGAAGAAGTTGTTGCATGTATGGTCAAAAATGATGAATCAAACAAAATCCATGAGAATGCATGTTTTGAAGAATATTCTAAAGATGATTGTGATAGCAACAAAACTGTTGAAATGGATATCTATGAGCTGATGAAAGCTTATGAAGAGGTTGTTGCTAAATAAAAGGTATGTGTTGCAAGAAATAAGAAGCTGATCAACAGAGTTTATCGATTGGAAGCTAGAGTCAAAAATGCCAAAGAAATAAATGAAAAAATGTTCAAGAGTTGTGAAAATATTCAGAAGAAAATCGAATAGCTGAAAGTGGAGAATAGCAAGTTGAAAGAAAAAAAAATGAGAGATTCAGAAAAGGAAAGAACAAACTTGATGAAGTGTTGTCGATCAGAAAGCTATTTGAAAATCATAAAGTGAAGGGATGTCTCCTTATAGATGTAAAAATCCTAGAGAAACCCTAAATGAAAAAGTGACTGAGGTTCCAAGGGAAAACATAAAGGAGAGACAAAACCGAAATTGCAAAAGGAACAAACATGTCAATCCGATGTCACAACAGCAGAGTAACTTCAAGTACTGCTATCGATTTGGTCATGCCGAATCTCATTGTTTCAAGTTGGCAAATGATCTGATGACTAGAAGAAAGGTTCATTCGCCTTTTGAAGAGCTCAAACAACGTATCAAATTCAGAATGGAGTAGAGACCCAAAAGAAAAAAGAAACTAATGTAATGCAATATTCCTCAAAAAACTCAAAGATACAAATGTGGTCATTAACAACAATTTGATGGAGCAAAAAGGCATGTTATGCATATACGATATGATCAATGAAGAACCAACTTGTGTCGTAGATGAGATCCTTATAATTCCACATGAAGGTCATAAAATTGTATTCATTTACTTCATTTGCAGTTATTGCTTTGTTCTTGATTAAAAAAAAAAGGGATAGACAAAAAAAAAAAAAAAATTATTATTGTTGTTCCTCTACTTGAGTTTATATGTTGTTAAGGAGAAATTGCAGAAGATGTGAAAAAAAATTTTGGATATTCACACTGCCAATAGATTTATCTACTGTTGAGTAGAGCCCTGAACCTGATGTCATAGCCCCCAAAGAACAACATATTTCTGCAGTTGAAGGTAGAACCATTGTGACCCCTCATTCTGCCACAATGCAATTGGGAGAATTTGATGATACAATAAGCCAAGGGGAGATGTGTTGATAAGGATGAGTGCTATCTGCTACTTGTCATTGTCATTTGTTGTGTGCTCGCACCTGAATACATTGATGTGTGATGGTGTTTTTTCTTGCTACTTATTATATCTTGCTTCATAAGCCAAAATGAGGGGATTGTTGGAATATGCAAAATGCCAAATCCCTTTTGCATCTATTTTTGGCATATCAACAAGACTACAAGTGTGTTGTTGCAGCTGTCTGTTGACACTATTTTAAAAAATCTGCAGGCAAGTAAAAACTTGACGGAGTTGGTCACTTTGGTTGCATTGAAACATGTTTCATACACGTTGGAATGTATCAAATTTATATGCCCCGTGAAGAGGACTTGTAGGATAGTTCATTGAAGTGTCCATTTCGTCATGCATGACATTTATTCCCTAGTATTCGCTACCCCAAAGTTGTTCTCAGTTAACTTTGTCCATTTGTGTGCAATGTGTATATGTTTTGTTTGTATGTATGTTTTCGTGGGTTAGCAACCAGAACTTTGAGTGTGTTATCCTCTCCACCTATTAGAGTATTGAGATATCTTCTCCACCTATTAGAGTATTGAGAGACTTATCTATGGAGGTTTGAAGAGTTGAGAATAAGGATTCTTCGAGTCGAAGCCGAAGGAGATAACCATCCGGTATGCAACCTTATTCGTAGCTTGGTCGCTGGTCTGCTGGAGTTGTTACGGTGTAGTAACAGCTAGTTCATGAGAGTTTGTAAAAACTAAATTAAGTTTGGGTAGAAGATAGGTTGGGTAGTTTTATATGGTGTCTTAAAGTAGTTGGTTTAGTTAAGACTCCTAAATTGAAATCTCCCAGACGTAGGTTGAAAAATCAAACTAGATAAACAAACTATGTGTATTGTTTTTTTTTTCTTTTTTTGGCACTTATTTAGTCATCGATTTGTACACGAACACACACTATCGTTTCAACCACGCATTCAAAGCTGTGCAATCTACCGACGCTGTCATATCTCCACTGTGCATAAAAATACACTCATTCTAATACTATTCTTGTTCAAATACACTTAACATAAAAAATTCTTACGGGATTCCATGCGTTATACTGTTATGAGTTGTGCTAAACTCTTATTGTTGTTAAAGAGTGTAGTTTGAAACTCTAAATTCATTTTCTTTTCTTTTATAAAAAATGATCGAATTATATTTTAGAATACGATTATGATATTTATTTTTTTACTTGGGTTTATTCATTTTGTATTTTTTTTAATAAATTCGTTTTTTTTATATTAAATATAAGAATTATGTTAGTAATTCATTCTTTTTATTTTTGTCCGTTCATATAATTATTTCTTTTATTTTTCTGAAATATGATTATATATTTTAATCGTATTTTAAAATTTATAATTTTTTTTATTTAAATTAAACTATTTAACTATATTAATTTTAATTTAAAATTATTTTTACTAATATATTTTTAATTATTTATTAATTATATTTTTCATAAATTTAAGTGTTTATAGTAAATAGGATATATATCTGATATGAGACGGAGATAATAGTATATAATTAAAAATAAAAAAAAGGTAAAAAAATAAGAAAGAAAAGAAGAGTGTTAGCAAGCAGGGTGAGAGAAGCGGCAGGGGATTCGTGAAGAAGCATGACGAGGAGAAGCGGGAGAGCAGTGGTGTGAAGTGGAAGAAACCAGTCGAGGGTAAAAGCGTCATTTTGAGATGGCACATAGGGTCAAAGACGGAGATGGAGTTGTTCGAGCCCAGAAAGAAAGAAAAACAGAAACAAAAGAAAAGAAAACAAAAAAAGAAAGGAGATGATGTGGGTGACGCCATGAAACAACCTTCCTCTCTCTCTCTCTCTCTCTTCTTTCTTACACATCACGTCTCTCTCTTCCAATCTCTCTCTAAAACTGCCCCCAACTATTTATTCCCCTTGTGATCCTCATGCTGTTTAATTTCTTCTTCCTCGTAACTCTTCTCTCTCTTATCTCTCTATATGGCATACACTTGACTTCATATATATATCCCATCCCATGGCTTGATCAGAATTCTGTTTAATTTCCTCCACCCCACTTCCTTTTTCTGTTACTTGTCTCCCTTTAATTGCTGTCGTGTTTGTTTTGAAAATCAAAATCAACAAATCGAGAAAATTGATCAATGGAGAAGAGCGGCGCCGCGACAACGGACGGCCGGATGGAGCTCCCGCCGGGGTTCCGATTCCATCCGACGGACGAGGAGCTCATCACTCACTACCTGGCGAAGAAGGTCCTCAACAATGGCTTCTCCTCCGTGGCCATCGGCGAGGTCGACATGAACAAGATCGAGCCCTGGGATCTGCCCTGTAAGGCTAATTAAGATCGATGGATGGATCTTAATTAATTGAAAAGAATTGAATAATTGATGTTGTGAGGTGTGCAGGGAAAGCGAAGGTGGGGGAGAAGGAATGGTACTTCTTCTGCGTGCGGGACAAGAAGTACCCGACGGGGCTGCGGACGAACAGGGCGACGGCGGCGGGATACTGGAAGGCGACGGGGAAGGACAAGGAGATATTCCGGGGGAAGATTCTGGTGGGGATGAAGAAGACGCTGGTGTTCTACCGGGGCAGAGCTCCCAAAGGCGAGAAATCCAATTGGGTCTCCCATGAATACCGACTCGAAGGCAAGCTCCCGGTCCCGGTCCTCCCATTGCTCCACCCGGGCTCCTTCTCCAACTCCAAGTCCTCTTCCTCTTCCTCTTCCCGGGTCAGTTCTCTCTCTCTCTCACTCAGTCAACTCGCGATCTCTTGATATATTTCATCGATTTATTATTTTTTCAATTTTTTTTTTTTTTTTTTTTTGCAAAATTGCGTAAGCTTCGGTTATTTAAAATTTGGGTAAACTGATCATTTAGTCTCGTAATGACACTTTTTATTATTTCAATTTTATAATTAAGGCTTATCTCAAATTAATTTTGTAAATGGAAAATTTTCGTATTTTAATTCTCCGACGCTAGGAATACCTACATACCACTCACGTGGCTCGCTAGAAAATATATATCCGCCGTATCAGCGGCATCCAGCGAACACGTAGATTTTTTTTTTTTAATGTAATAAAGAAAAATCGATGTGTCCGTCGGGTCATGTCCTGCAAGCCACGTAAGCATTTCCGGTATCGGAGAATTAAAATTACAAAAGACAAATAATAAAATAATAAATGAGTCCAATTATAGTACTAAAAAAATTAAATTAAGATTAAAAATTTTTCACAAATTTTCTTCCTAAATTAGAAAAAAAAAAAAAAAAAGAAAAGAAGAAATGCTTGAAACCCCTATAAAATATCTTTTTTAGGATTTCTAAGCAAGTTTTTTGAAACACGAAAATTAATTGGGTGTGATTGTTTGGGGAAATGGATTTTAAATATATTATTCATCTCAATTTTTTCTCTCCAAAATATCGAATCAAACACCTATTTTTTATTTTTTATGTTATACTAAAAATTAATTTTACATTCAAAACATCACATCAACACCTATTTATATCGGCATTATACAACTAATTAAATATAAAATTTTTACTATTCAAATCTCAACTCAAAATTCAAACTCCGTAAAAACACATCTACTTTTTATAATTTGGGACAATTCTAAAGCAACTGTATAAAGAATAATGATGCACACTTTGGAAACCTGTTAAAAAGAATTTTACCTTTTCTTTTGCATTATTCATTAATAATAATTTCTAAATACTTCATACTAGTATTAAATAAAAAAAATTATTTAAAACATTATATTAAAATATATTTTTAATATTTAAAACCTTGTTTGTTTGATGATTTTGATTTTAACTTTTAAAATAGTAAAATTTTAAATTTTAATATTTGTTTAATATGATATAAATAAGAGTGGAATTATGTTTTAAATATAATATAAATTTTTAATTAATATAAAATACTTTCTCCGTCCCACCTAATTTGTTTCTATTTTTTATTTTCGTCTATCCTACATAATTTGTTATTTTTCTATTTTGGAAATATAATTATACATTTTAATCACATTTTAAATTTTAATTTTTAATTAAAGTATTTAGTTATCTTAATCTTAACTCATAATTATTTTAATTTACAATAATTATTTTTACTAATATATTATTTAATTACTTATTAATTATATTTTACCTAAATTATGTATCTACAGTAATACATCCATATTATATGAGATGAAGGGAGTAGTAAAAAAATGCTTGATTTTATATTTTTGAGAAATAAATTATAACGAGTAAAAATTAAATAAATTAGTCAAACAAACTTACCGGTTATTTATTTAATTTTTTAAAAATTAATTTCAGCAATTTTGTTTAAACTAAACGTAATTGTTTCTTTTCAATTCAGTTACAAGTCTTCTTCATTATTTTTATTTATAAACTATTATTTATGTTTTACCTTTTATTAAAAAAATAAATTAAAAATTATTATATACAATACTTATTATGTAATACAGAGTGTGTTTATGTTTTTTTTTTTCAAATAAATTTTAAAAATTGAGCTTTTTTTTGTTTAAATAGACTATAAGAAGTTTGACAATTTTAATATTTATTTTGTTCATTTAAAAAATAAATATTTATTTTTAACATAATTTAATAAATAATATGTTTTAATAATAATTGATGATAGTTTTGCATATAAAAACTATTTTTTATATAGGATGGGTAAAGTTATTGTTAGAATATTGATATAATAAATATTAAGTAAAAATATTTGTAATTTATAAAGGAGTACATACTTATTAGAAAATAAAATAAATACTTTGTGTTTTGAACAATAAAATATATATATTTATTAAATGGACAAAAGAGTATGATTTTTTTAAAAATATATACATAATATTTTTAAAAATATAATATCTACGTAGTAGTGTTTACTTCTGAAGTTTTAGTTTTGAGTTTTGATTTTGAATAGTAAAATTTTGAATTGAAATAATTGTTTGATGTGATATAAATATGTGTTGATGTGATGTTTTGAATGTAAAATTAGATTTTAATGTAATAAAATAAATAAAAATTGGGTGTTTGATTTGATATATTTGGAGAAAAAAAAGGTTGGAATAATAAAATCAGGTGTATAAACTGAAAAGTAAATTATTTTTTTTCAAATTCTACTATTTAGATTCTGTATTTTTCGAAAAGAATATATTTTTTTTCTCTCACAAAATATATCATCCTAAACTCAACCAAAAGAAACACACATAATACAATTTTTAAAGGTTGGTTTATCCAACAAGTTTTATAGGATACAATTTTTATTAAATATTACAAATAAATATAATTTATGCGTACACATAATAATATATAATACATATATTGTATAGACTATAATACAATATAAGTATATTTTGTAAAAGTTTGGGAATACATTAATTCAAAAACATAAAAGTAAAGACAAAAACATCCGACATCTTAAAAAATAATTTTGAATATTAAAAATATTTTATATTCAAGTTTATTTGTCTAGTATTTTGATTTAAAATATATTTTTTAATATAAGTTATAAGAAATTATGTAAATAATATAAAACTAATATTTTATAGTATTAAATATTAATTTTTTGTGAGATGATTAAGTATATAATATAAAACTAATATTTTATAGTATTAAATGTTGATTTTTTGTGAGATGACTAAGTATATACTGGAAATCAATTGAAAAAAAAAAATATTAAAAAAAAACAAACTTATATTTCTTAATATATGTGCCTTTTCAATTTTGATTGAATTTATTTAAAATCAATAGTATTATTTATTTTAATTTTTTTTTAAAAAAAATACTTCTTTCGAAAAATAATATAAAATTTAAATAATAAAAAATTAAATAAAAATTATATAAAAAAAAAACTGTGTATTTATTTATAAATAATATTTTTAAACATACTATATTACATCACATATTTCATTTTTATTATTTTTAAATTTGATATAAATTATGCCTTATTATTATTATTTTTAATATCTTATTATCATTGTAATAAATTTGTACCCATCTAAAATCATACTCGTTGTTTGTTATTTGATAGAACGATTGGGTGATCAGTAGAGTGTTTCAAAAGACCACCGGAGGGAAGAAAGTCCACATATCGGGCCTCATGAGGATGAGCGATTCCTGCGACATCCGGTCCGAATCGTTGCTACTCCCGCCATTGATGGATTCCGGCGCCGGCGCCGGCCACGTGCACTGCTTCTCCAATGCCGCCAGTCAGAGTCAGGGTCAGAGAATCCAAGACGATTTTATGAACCCAGTTTTCACTAGTTCGTCCCTCAATTCATTATCCGGCGGATTTCCGTGGGGCTCCGGAATTGGGCTTCAGTTTCCGGGCCCGGTTCCGCTCCAGGAACCTTCGATTCTTCGAACGTTGTTGCTCACAAATTACAACCCAAATCAGAATGAGAACGAGCAATGTAGGAGAGAGAAAAAAGATATTAATGGTGCGGCGGCGGCGAGTACAGAAAACTCGTCGGTAGTGTCGAATTTAGAGATGGGAAACAAGACGACGAACACTGCAGTAGGATTACAAGATTTCGACTGCATCTGGAGCTACTAAATGAGTGATTTTCTATTCTTGCATTGCATGCTATAATTACTTAGAGTTTGTTATTTAATGTTATTTTATTACAATGGTTGAATTAATTAATATAATCAATGTCAAGATGATTATTTGATTGATTGATTTGTGTGCGTTGATAGACAGTGATAGAAATTGGATATGATTATTATGGTTTAAATTTTAAGTGAATTGAAGAAGATGATTGTTCGTATTTAGATTTCAACGACACACTCAATTTCTCACCAATTTCGACCATATATCCAATTTCTCACTCACTTCGTCCGCTTTGCACCTCTCTCACGGTTTGATTGTTCGGCTTCTCAAAAATCGAAATGAAAATTTCCATCAGATTCTCGTTTTTCTCCATCCGCGGGTTGATTTTTCCTTTCGGGTAAGTGTTTTTGTTTCAAATATTTAATAGTAAGTACACATTGGAGGAAGAACCTACGGTTAGTATAGTTAAGCAAATTAGTTTCGATTATATTGCTTTGACGGATTTATGCTAATTTTTACGATCTTTGAGTTCAAGTATTGAGGCAAAATGTTCTAGTTTAATGGGTATGATCTATCTATCGGTCTGTTTAATTTCTTTACTTTTTCATCTTTGATGTTGGCAGATTTATTATAGACGTTATTGAGTTCGATAAACATCCAATTATATAAATGTATTTTTAGCTTTACCATTTTTTTTAATCATATAACTATAATATAGATAATTAGTTCCCTTACAATATATGAATTCCAATATCTATTTCGATAGTTTCCTTGCATATATTATTATGTGTATTTGTATGAAGAAAGCACATTTTAGCTTCCTCATCGAAGGTGATTATTTGTTCTTGTTCCGGATATAGAATGAAGAACAAGAGAATAAGTTTGGTACTCCCATGAGAATATGTTTATATCACATTCCGGATTGTATAATTTCATCTTCATAGTATTTAGTTTTAAAATGTCGAGGTGCATCAAATGATCATTACTGGATCTAAGAATTGCACGAGTATATTGCAAAAGGCAAGTTCGAAGTATCCTTTCCTTATTGTGGTTTTCAATTGCGCATCCAAGGCAGACAATATTTATTTTTAGAATAATTTGTTATTTGTAATCTTCACCTTGGGAAAACATTATCATACTATCTTAGCCAATTGAAATTGTCTCACCAAAATCACATGTTAAACATGCATCTTTTTCTGAAGAGAACTTTGACATAGCATTTCCAAAAAAATATCATAAAGACTGCATCTTGCCAATCTTGAGTTTTGAATTTAATATTGGCAACATTCTAGACATTGGACAGATCTTATAAATGTCGAATCTACAAGAAAATCATATAGTATGGTTGATATCTTATCTATCTGTGGTTAGAAATATTTGTGTGATGTACCACCACTTTGAGGTTTATTGTCTTTTGTTGTATATATATTTTCTACTTTCTTGTAACACTGATTATTACATAAACAAGGTGATGACAAATAGACTGATTACAATATTAATGATGATTTTTTTATATCTATAAGTGTCAAGCTTAAGGGGCAAGAAGATGAATTTATAGGTATGCATGCATATATAAACTCATAGATCAATAATCAGCTTGGGAACCTCTCATTGTTATTAATTTTTTTAAAAAGAAAACAACTCATACTATTTTACACTTTCTTAATGTTTAGGTCTTGCAATATTGAATTAACCCATTCAAATAGCTCCAATATGTTGTGAAAAACAAGGTGTTCTCAGTGTAACAAGAAGTGAAAACAATCCGGATACATTGTATTATAAGTGTGAGTTGTGTAAAAGATAGTTACAAAGAGAATATAATTTCAATGAGAGAATGTATCGTGCCTCTAATATGAAAAAGGAAAATTCTTTTTATGGGGTGATCAAGTGCTACGTCAAGGTGTCCAGGTAAGAGCAGTGAGATTCAATGTTCATGTTTGTATTTCGGCAAGGAATGTGAAAAAGCGCGAGAAGAATTATAAAAACTACTATTTGACTGTCTTCATTTTTTTTATTTTTTAAATTTCAATATTATTTCTTGTGTTTGTGTTTTCTTTACTTTGTAAAGTCTAGACTGCTATAATATGTCAATGAGATGTGTTATGTCAATTGAGAATGTAATCATCATTTCAATGTAATATGTGATGTAGGAAGAATTAATATTGATAAAAATATGTAGCATATGTTGTAATATGTCCAGTGGGACGGATTTGTATTAATTTTGTATTATTTTGATTTATGTAGTAGGACGGTTGGTATTAATTTCGAGTTCTTTTAGTTTATGTATTTTAATTTCATGTTGTGGTGCATGTCTTCATCAATGGATTTATAAGTTTTTGTGTTGTTGTTTATTGTAATGTTGGTGTTTAGTTTCATTCATTCGATTTGGAAATTAACATTTGAAATTAAAAACATCGTAAATAGTTTAAAAAATTTATTAGATTTTTCCACCAATGGAATCACATGTGACAAAAGTATTTACAAAGAAATAAAACCCATGAGTGTTTTAGTGGTTTCAACTCAATGCACTTTGAAAGTATTCCAAATTATCATCATTGCACTAGGACATCGGCTACCATTTCACTACAAAAAATAGTATATTTGTAACGAAATTCCGTCACTAAAGATCACGTAGCTAACGTAATTCCATCATTAATTCCGTCTCTAATATCATTAGTAACGGAAAAAAATGAATTTAAAGACGAAAAAATCTCGTTACAAAAATACTATTTTCTTGTAGTGTTTATACATAGTACAATTTTTAGGATATGTAATAGATGGTTTATGCATAGGTGACATAATGATTTTAGAAACTCGTATGCTACAACACTTTTTTTTTACATTGTACCCACATGTGAAGGAAGGTTACAAGTCTATAATATGTCATAACCTTTAAATGAATTGTTGTAATTGCTTATATATTGATAAAAATTGGACAATAACTTCACAGTGGAACACATCCGCAAGCATGGCAGGTAATGGAGACTTATTTTCATCTAAGGGTGGTGAAATGTTTTATAATGCAGGACAAATTTTTCAGCAATTTCATTCTTCTTATGTTGTATTTGCTCTTACCAAAAAAAGATGGACAGTGACGATGATGAATAGCGGGCATTGGATCCAGTTGTCCAATTTTACACCGATAAAAGTATAGCTATGATGAAAGAAGTAGAAGACGACTTCTGTTAGAGCTTCAAGAAAACTTCCTCGAGTGGTTGCAATCGCCCCTACCCGAAGTGGCCATGTTCGAAGAGAGCAATGCTCCTGTGTGAAGGAAATAATCTATTACGATAGAGAGCGAAGACATCAGGACTTATAGGCGGACCACCTATCGGACACACTTTGATTTCCCGAATTGTTTTTCAGGCATAGATTTGTGATGCACCGAGAGCCCTTCAATTGAATCTTGCACGAATTGTGCAACAAAAATGTGTACTTCAGACAACGTCAAGATTGTATGAGTCAAATGGGCCTTTCACTTCTCCAAAAATTCATGGCCATTATTTGAGTTCTCACATATGGGTTTTGTTTTGATAATGTGGATGAGGTCCTAAAAATAAGATAAAGTATGACACATAAAACAACAATAAAGTTTTGCAATACTATTATATCTATTTATAAATCATAATATTTATATGATCCAAAATATGACGATATTGCATGTTTATTGACAGAAAAATAATGAATTCAGTTTTTCAAGTTTGATAGGATCATTGGATTGCATGCACTGGCATTGGGACGGATTCCAGTCTTTTGGAGAGGTCAATACAACGCTCGCTACGGATACCAAACAATGATACAAGATGAAACAACATCTGAGGATTTATGAATATAACATGCCTTATTTGGTATGTTTGAAACTAACAATAATTTCACAGTTTTAGATTATTTGCTCATGTTTGATAAATTCAAATGGATGGGACGGCACCGCCAGTTGAGTAGTAAGTGAACGGAAGGTGTTACAATTTGTCATATTATTTAATAGATAACATATACCCTAAACATACATTGTTTATGCAACGGTAATAAATCCAATCGCTTCAAAGGAAAAAGCTTTTACAATATTGCAAGAGGCTTGTCGCAAAGATATCGAAAAAATATTCGGTGTTCTAAAATAAAAATGGCGCATATTGTATTTACTAGTACAATTATGGCAAACATATTATTTTCTTCTCGTGGCCATTACGTGCATTATCTTACAAAATATGATAGTTGTAGATGAATATGATCAAGATTTACCTATGTGGATACCTCATGTTGAAGAAGATCAGAGTATGCCTAGGGGCCAAAAATCAATTGATGAAGTTCACCTCATATACTTTACAAGAATGAGACAAATTCATTTGCATTATTGGTTGTTAAACTTAGGCTTGGCCACATAGTTTAATTTATGTACGTATTTGTGTTTCAATAAAAATCGTCCAACCCTTCGTTAATATTGTTTTTTTTTCTAAATTATGAAAATAGTCAAACCTTGCAATGGTATATTGATTACAGTATGGAACATATTCACAGAGTTCATGTTAGAATATTAAGTTTTATTTTTCTTCCTATTAATTCCTAAAATCATTAGTGCCATCAAGATATAAGACATAAGATCATAACTAGAAGACAAGAAGTTCTACATAAAAAGTTGGAAAGTTATTGGAAATTTGAAAATGGTTACAATATAGTAGAACATATAAATTATAGTTTGACAAAAATCTCTAAGTCTGCTTGTAAAAGTCACTAGCATAGTTCAAGGTTTAGCTTTGGCATCAACATAATGCAAGTTGATTCCTTATGTGTAATTGGTTGTTGCTTATGTTTAATTACAATACCTTTTTAATTATGCATATTACTGTTCTAGATTTTCACAGGATTTAGTTTACGCTATTGTGGTGCATATGTAGAAAAAAATCTCATTCTTCATAAAGCAAAGCATCATTAACATCTCCGGAAGGAGCAAATGTGTTTTAGTGCCTTCAATAGATATGGTATGCTTGTCTCGTATGGACAATGGTAGTTTTGCACTAATATATAATAGAAATATACATATAAATAATAAAGTTAGAAGAATAAAAATGACATTTGGTGTTCATACTTTTCATTTCATGACCTCCCCAATAATTGTAACCATGAAATAA